AAACCCCACCAACCCCCCCACAAATGAGAGAGAGAGAGAGAGAGAGAGAGAGAGAGAGAGAGAGAGAGAGGGCCTCTGCTCTGCCTCTCTTCTTCCTCTGGGCACACACAGGCACAGTCAGTTTCAGTGCCTCAGTGGTACTGGTCGCACCACCACCACCCTTCCCTCTTCCCTCCCTTTTGTCTCCTCCTCGGTGGCCCCCACCTTCATTTCTTCACCTCACCATCTCACGACGCCACGTGCACATTACCTCTCTCTCTCTCTCTCTCTCTCTCTCTCTCTCTCTCGTCTTTTTGTTAGAGGAAAGACTATAAAGACCAGTGAGAGAAGGCATTTTCACCTGGGTATATTCCATTCTCTGTTAAATTTAATACAAATTTATAAATAAACCCAATTCTAGACATGTATTTATAAAAAAATCCAAGCACTATTTAAACATAGAAACACACCCAAAATCAACCCCAAAGTCAACTTTTTGGGTGTGTTTATAAATGGGTTTTGAGTATGTGTAATGATGGGTTTTGGGTGTGTTTATAAAGTGTTTTGGGTGTTGGGGTTTTTTATAATGGGGGCACGATTTGTTGATGTATCTTGGTTATGAGTTAGCATGTTGATGAGCACTCATTAATAATTTTGATCAATAAAATCACCAATTTTTAAGCATAAATCGATCATATACATTGTACAAAAATAAATCTCACATATTTTGCTTGTGTGGACTCGCAAAATGTCTAAAATAAATGCATTCTTTTTTAACATGATTAAGTATGTCAAGTATTATATTATAACATTATTTTTTGTTTTAATAAATATTAGAAAATTATGGTTGGTTATTGTTTAATTCTCTGATATGGCTTACCCTTTAAATTTCCATCCCATCAAACTGAAACTTAAACCTCCAAAACCCCTTTTCGGAAATAAAAAATAAAAGCGCACTTGATAATTTTGAATCAATTTAGGCAAAAACATCTAAAGATGTTCTGGTTCGTAATTATTTGATTGGTGATTGATTCTTTTCACACACAACTATACCAAATTTACATTTCTGACCCAACAAAAACTATACCAAATTTTCAAAGGATTTTGTTACCCTTTTACAAAGTCTTTTTATATAGAAAGAATTGTTTCTTTTTTTTAAGTTGGAAAAAAGTATGCTATTGACACTCATCTAAAATACTAAAAACAACGTCAATGAGGTCTCGTTGAGTGGAATGGGTCTTAACCTGCCCATAAGAGGTCTCATGCTTGAATTCTCATGGCATTTTAGTTGTGTGTATGAAAAAACCCTCTCATTTATAATTTAGATTACCGCTTGTATTAAAAAAATACCAATAACTATATTTTCTTATAAGAATCTTTGTAAAGTGTAAATGGGATGTGTGTTAGGTAAACTCATCTTAAATTGTCACATGTTGATCCACCTATGATTCTGAAGAATAATTAAATACAAAATAGTCCTTCCCCTCGCCCTCATTAAATGTAGATTATCTACACCTTGAGTGGCGAAAGCCTAGAATCACAAACAGCTGCTTCAAGACCAACCACTGCCACCACACCACACCGTATCAAAACCCACGCACACGTGGCGCCATGTTTTGGCGCAAATAAGGACACCAGGTAATAGTACTCGGGTCGGTCACATGCTGACTTGCATGGACTCGCATACACTTGAAGTTTCACCTTTATTATGCCTCGAAATTAACCAAAAGAATTAGCCTCCTAATTAATATTAAAATTATAAAAAATGAATTAGTTGACCACTTGGGCGGTCAAAGGAGCGACGTGATTAGCCGGTAGCGGTGACAGGCCCCTGACGGCTGAGGAGGACGCACCACCCACCCATCAGTCCTTTGGGGGAAGCTTAAGGTTTGGTCACGTCGAAATGAATGAAAAAGGCCAAACCGGTCAATCAAAACGACTGTGCAGCAGCAAAGCGACCGTACGGAGGGAGGGCTGAGTGTGACCGGCAATAACAGGTTAACTCACATCCCATTTGTCTCTGTCTCGTAACTCGTGCGCGCTTGCTGATGCAAGGAAGGTTGAAGAAGGAGTATTAATGAGCGAATCGAGAAACGATGTGCTGGGGCGGGGGGGTAGGGTCGGTTTTACTATTTTGCCCTCCAGCGCCAGTCTCTCGAGGGCCTTGAAAGAGACAACTGTCAATTGCACGAAGGTGCAGTGGACTTGAAGGGTGGAGGGAGGAGACAGTGAAGAGTGGTAATTTGGTAAAAACAGACTGTAGGGTTAACGCGCATGGTATCCGGACGTGCTGCTACTGGGAAATGGATAATTGTGCCACGAACCAGCAAGGCCCTGTGCGAAATTACCTTTAGCTCATTTTTCCATTTTATTCAAATTATGGAATATTAGATTTGATTGATAATTTTATCACTATCAAGCATGATGATGCTCATTTGCATTTCATTTACTAATTATGAAATACTGATTGATTTATAAAGAAGATATGGGTATTGGAAATTCAAATTTTGCATACCTGAAAATAAAAAAGATAGGGATGACAACATAGCGAATCGAGAAAGAGGATACTAGTTATTTTCCTTAGTTCAAATTTAAACTACTTTCTCAAATTTAAAAAAAGAAAAAGAAAAAACAAACTAATTTACTGATTAATTACAAGTATAGGTTGCAAGTTAGTTTAGCAACCATGCAATGTGCAATTTAATTAATTGGGATTAGTGAGAACATGGTAATTATTCAAAACCAAACGTATTTGAGAAAGAATGATTACATAATTGATTATGTCATTTATGGCACAAAATTAATTAGCCTGTCCCTCCTAATTATGATTCACTAAGATTCTGTTCTCATAATAATATGTAATCCAATCATGCCTGAATTCTTCCAAGTTAATGTTCTGCACATAGTTACTTTTATTTGTTCATTGATAATATACTATTGCTTTTTCTTTTTCCTTTTTAAACATGCATTTTTTATTTTTACTGAAAGTTTACATTATCCAAGTGTAAATGAAGCAACCGGAAAATGACAAAATAATAATAATAATAATAAAAGAGAGGGGTATTTGGGTAATTAGGTAGCTTGCATTCACATCCAAGGCAATCAAAGCGTCCAAACAGGGGCATTATCGGAATTAGAAGCAGACAGTACAGGGACAAAGAGGAAACTCAGAAGGCACTTAATGGTTGCTCAGAATAAGATGTCCATCCTTATGGAGGTCAGTAATGGTATAACAAATATAATAAAAACCAAAACTTGATCCGACGGTCACTACGTCTCCCTCCAAATCTCAACGGTTCCCAACGCAAACCGCATATAAAAATATTTGACGTCGACGCCATATGGTACTAACGCCCTCCTTCTCTCTCTCTCCTCTCTCTCTCACCCCCTTTTCTTCCCTCATCATTTCTTTGTTTTCATTTTTATTATATATTTTTATTTTATTTTCTTGGCTTCGAAATAATAAAATTTTCCGTTCTCTCTGCTTCTGTTGGGATCCTGGAAGAACTCGAAGATCGGATCGAGCGCTCTCTCGCTCTCGAACCCGAAACCACCGAGCTCTCTCTCACAGGTCTTCGTCTTCGTATTCTTCTTCTTTTTCTTCATCGCCACCATTTCTTCGCTCTCGCGAAACGCCGACGTTTCGTCTCCGTTTTCTGAAAGTTGCAGTTTCTTTTTGGTTTCGTGTCCTTGCAGGTGTTACATGGACTTTGGAGGCTTGGAGAGAGAGAGAGGGCAGAGCCGTCGACTGTGAACCGAGCAAGCTGCGATTCAAGTAAAATTGAAGGTAAAAGGCCCCAGGTGAGGTTGATCATCCTCCTTCATTTTCTTCAATCGTCATCTTCATTTCCTCCAGTTTTTGAGTCTTTCGAAAGATCTCGCCGTTTCTTTTTGTTCACACGGTGAATTGCGAGGACCTGTTGTGGATTTTTGCTGATTCTTTGAAAGATTGTTTTTTCTTACGCGGATCTGAGATTTTATTGCATTTTCTTGAGCGTGAAGTTAAGAGAGAGAGAGAGAGAGAGAGAGAGTCAGGCATAAACACAAACACATAACAAACAAACATAGTAGTCTCTCGCAGAGAGCTTCTTCTTCACGCCGTTGTTGTATTATTTTACATTTCTGGTAAATTGACAGCAAATTAGTTCTCGTTTCATTGTTTTCTGTTCCACTGTCGCTCTCTCTCTCTCTCTCTCTCTCTCTCTCTCTCTCTCTCGGAACGCAGTGTTAAGGAAGCCATTGTTGTTTAAGCTTTTTTTGACAGTATCTGCAATTTGCAAAAATCGATCATCAGGTCCTTGAAACGATTCGTTTCGTTTTGTTTTTTCTTCTTCGTTTAATTTTTTTCCTTCTGAAAATCATTTCTTTATATTATTGCTTGCTTTGGTTCGAAGATACTGTTCGATTATAAGGTATCATGTCGGTTTTCTTTTAATACGTTCCAAAACCAGCTCTTTTTTCTAAAACCAGTAAATCCATGAAGCTTCCCTGAATCCCCTATGCATCTCCCTCTCTGATTTTCCCACATTTCAATGCCCTTATTATACAAAAAGATTATAAATAAATCTCTCTCTCTCTCTCTCTCTCTCTCTCTCTCTCTCTTCCTTCTTCCTTGTCCTTGGTGTAAAGCCTATTTGTCTTTCTTGCATTGTATCAGATTATCAAATAATCAAATATTGACTTGTGGATCGATTTTTATTAATTTATTTTATTTTTGTTATGGTTGTTCCCGTTGCAGTTGATTGAATTAAAATAATGTCGTCGTCAAACTCACCGTGCGCAGCCTGTAAGTTTCTCAGGCGAAAATGCACGCAGGAGTGCGTGTTCGCGCCCTATTTCCCACCGGACCAGCCCCAGAAGTTCGCCAACGTCCACAAGGTATTCGGAGCCAGCAATGTCGCCAAGATCCTCAACGAGCTCAACGCTACGCAGCGGGAAGACGCCGTGAACTCGCTGGCCTACGAAGCGGAGGCACGCCTCCGTGACCCGGTCTACGGATGTGTGGGCCTCATCTCCATCCTCCAGCAACGGCTCAAGCAAGTCCAGGCTGACCTCTACAACGCCAAGAAGGAACTCGCCACTTACATGGGTCCTCAAGCCATGCTCTCCATTCTTCAGCCACCACCAACTTACATGCCCCAACAGCTGCAAGGAAACGCTTCTTCTTCGGCTGTTTCGCCGTACACCATGTCTCCGATGATGGGCATTTCGACCGGCCCTACTTCCGGGCAGTTGATGATTCGAGAGCCGCAGCAGCAACAACAACAACAGCAGATGTTTGAGGCTCAGCAGTTGGCGGCGGCTGTGGCTGCGAGAGAGCAGCAGGAGATGTTCAGGAGTTTTGATCAAAGTAAACAGTCAATGCAGCAAGGTCAAGAGCATGTGAGATTCAACAGTGGGTTTGACTTGTCCCCCGGCTCAGTGACCGTGAGCGGGTTCACTCAGATGGCTGGAGCAGTGTGCAATGCTGTTTCACCTTCTTTGGCTCTGGGGTTTGATAGCAATTCTTATCATCATCAGATTCAGCCGCAACAATCACATCATCATCATCAGCTTCAGCTTCAGGCTCAGCTCTTGCTCCAAACCCAACAGCCTCAAGGGCAGCATCAGAACCAGCAATCACAGCAGACGCAGCTGCAGCAAAAGTCCGATCCAGGCGAGGAGGGCGGTAGGAGTGTGGGTCCCTCCTGTTGATGGCAATTTTTTCAGCTCCTCCTGCCTTCCCCGCTTTTTCATTCAACTAATTTTCATCCTAGGTATCCTCTCCTTCCTTCGCTCAATTATTCTCTATTTTGAAATCCATGCATTTTAATTTCTTGTTATTTCTTTATTTAGTTGGGTTTATGGTCTTGCACATGAGGCTTTATTTTGATATAAACGATATCTAAAAAGTGAGAATTCGAATATAAGACTTCGGGAATGTAGACATAAGTAATGTTAACCACCACATAAATTGTTTTGATGTTTGCTAAATGGGGGTTTTGCATTTATGGATGTTGTGATGCTTTGAGGAGGTGCACATTGGGTGGTTTTTTCATGAAAGGGGCAAATATCATGGAAAGCCAAAATTACTCTTTATTGCATAAGAGTAGGCTGAGTAGAGGGGTTGGTTAAGAGAATTATTGTCTTTTCCCAGCGAGGGATGTCTCCCTCCTCATCATCAATAACATCTGAGGTAGCAGCCTTAGGTTTCACTTGACCACTGTGTGACATCCCTTTCCCCTCTTGATGAATATATTTTTATTTTTATTTTTTTGGGCATTATGTTTTGTCAGAAAAATTAATAAATATATCCTCGCAGTGATGTTGATGCTTGTTTGAGCTAATTTGGTGCGCATTGATTGCATGGTGTTTGATGGTCCAATTTGTGAAAGGAAAAACATGTCCTCTTCTTTTGACTCATAATTCATACTACGCATTGGACAAACAAAAAAAAGGTCGCTAGAAACAGGAGTGTTTTTCAAGGCAAATTTCGCTGACAACACCTTTTATGATCTTCACTATCGGCTTCAGATTGTTCTTCCCCCATTGTGAAATGACCACACTACCCTTCTCCCTTTACCTACCTAAAAAAGTTTCAAATTTGGCATCTATGAAACTTTTGTTGTGTTTGTGGTAGACTTTGATTTTACTACTTGTTTTTTTCTTCTTTCTCATGTTATGTAGAACATTACGATTCTATTGCACTTTTCATACGTCTCCTAATCTATATTTCCCTTTTGTTCTTTTTTTGTTTTTGGTTGCAGCAGTTCATATCTTCCGCATACAACTGGAGATCTAGAGAGAGATATATATATATATATATAAAAAGAGTGTAGGAAATGAGATTTGGAGAGGTTCAAATCTGAGGTCCAAAATCTAAATCATTTTTGAGTTTTAAAGAGAAGTTTGATTGAAGAGATATTTCCAAGTGTAGGATCTGCATTGATCTTCGAGTACAGTATTGATCTTGATCTTCTGGATTAGTCGTGATATAATCCACGCTTCTTTTTTTGCAAACATGTAAATCTGAACTTCTGGAATTATCTAAGGCCTTTTTCCATCTCTTCTAATATTAGCATATCCCTTATTATTATTATTATGATTGTAATGGTGGTGCTAACAATAACAAGATGTCATTGTTATTACTTGTCTTATTGTTAGTATTTTTATTGTAGTCATTATCCTTACCAGAGATTTAAGTCTAATAATGTTTTTATTTTCATTGTCGAAATGTGTCACAAGTTCATATCTCATGTGCCGTTTATGAAATAAAAAAAGAATCATATTATTATACAATAAGAACATGAGGGAGAAAATGTTGCACTTGTACATGTGCGTATAGTACACTATACAGTACTCCCTAGAGTATTATTACTATTATTTTTGGTGATAACTTCACGATTACGAATTATTGGCTTGACTCCATCACTATAACACTATTTATTTGGTTGATCGTGTGTTGATAATTATAGCATGACTAAGATTGGTGTTACACGTGCACATGTGAACGTGATATAAAGTTTGTTTAGCATCTAACTCTAACTTTATTTGAAAATCTTAAACTATAATAAAATGAGGAATTTTGAAAGCACTATTTTAACCTAAATGGGAGTTATACCTATATTTTTCTTCTAGTCATACAGCCGTATAGTCTCTCTCTCTCTCTCTCTCTCTCTCTCTCTCTCTCTATATGTATGAATGAAGGATGAAGGATGAAGGAAAAAGGGAAAAAGTTATGGTGATAGGATCAACCAAAGAGATGTATGATATCGGGATTGGTGCCACCTTTTGAAGAATTAACACGTCCATCACTCACATCTTATTTAAAAATAACAAGACAGTACAAAATTGGAAAAAAGAAAAAGAAATGAAAATATTAGGTCTGCGGTGGCCCCCTGTAATCACCTCCTTGAAGAAGCAAGCTGTGTTGATGGAATGGATCACAATGCTTTCACCGCTTTATTGACCTTGTTTCTTTATTATTCAAACTGTAGAGCTCAATTGTCTGTCTTTTAATAATCACATTAAAAGACGAAGACCTTGACCTTAAAATAATTTGCTGCATGGAAGTGCATGCCATGCATTTTGGACAGGACAGCCTCACAGGCTCTCACAGGCAGCAGCTGCCTATAGCTCTGCCAGATTTATAAGATTTCCATCGTTTTTCACAAAAGGATGGATATTCAACTTCATCCATGTGCCAATTTGACATTACTTTAATACATTTTTCTATAATACGATTCCGTACACGGTACACTATGCAAATACGTATAAGACAATCATTCGACGAGTATAATATTTTCATACTGAGTACAAAGTCATACCTGCGCCAAGGACAGATCCAGGCATGGGCTAGAAGTGGGCTCTAGCCCAGTGCTAAATTTGGAGATGAAAAAATTTGATGTTAATTTTATATGTCAAACCCAAGTTAATTAAAAATAGTCCACCTTTCTTTGTTGAAATTAGCCTATCACAACCGTAAGATTTCATCTCTTTGAGGCACCCCCACACATCAGACATCATGTTTTTCTATTACCCACCCATGTAAGCTATAACTTTATATTTGAACTTGAGAGTTTAGAAGTAGTAGGTCTCCTCCTCTATAAAATTGTATCAACCTATATCCAATGAGTTCTTTAATATTAGTACGTTTATCTCTTAGTTTTTGTTTAATTTCCAATTTCCATTGTTATTGTTAGCCTTTTATGATTTAGAGTTCGGGTGTTAAATTTTGGGATTTTTTTTCTTATGCAATTTGCTATGATTTTATTGATGACTTGTCATTTTTATGATTTAATATATTCATTACTTGATCTCTGCTTTTATATAGTCTAGTTGTCTCTTGGTTTTGTTGAATGTTTGTAACTTGTGATTGTGTAATTATAGATCTATATGTCTGCACTCCCAACATCTATGTGTACTCCCATCAAATTTTTAAATTGTTAATTGAAGAATAGTTGCTACCTTTGCATTAAAAAAAATAAACCTATAGCCTATATCCAATTAACCATGTAGACCCCTCATAAAAAAAACCCATGTAAAACTGTCTTTAAAAAGAAAAAAAAAGGTAATATACTGGATCTCCCATTAAGAAATACAATCCACTGCTATAAATTTTTCTCGATCCGCCCTTGCATGCCGCAATTAGTTATTAAACAGATTATCTTATTTTTATCACCTTAGGATTAGATAAAGCAGCAATGTTTGAATCTAAACTACAAAGATCATGTGTTTGTTGTTTATAATGACTTAAATGTGTGGAGAAACCAATTTGTGTTCCTCTAAAAAGGACAGTGATTTAACACTCATTTAGTTTAATTCATTTCATTCTATTTAGTCGGCTAACTGATAAAAAAGGAATTTGGAAAAAATAATGATTCAATTGAAAAAGTATTCTAAGGAAGGATCAGTTTATAATTCCATGCATTTGTGTTTTTAATGGACAATGATTATATTTAGAATCAAGTAAAGTTGAGTGATTGAAACGTGGCTTGGCATGATGCGATGTGGTTTTACATGAATTCATATGTTTATCAGAGTCGTTGCACCTGATTGTGGTCCAGTTCATAGATTTCATGGAATTTATTTGAGGACACGTGGCTTTCTCCCCCAGGAACTTAGTAAATTTAAAGTCGAAGAGGAAAATCGGAAGAATGTCATAAATTTAGGGGACAATGATAAATTTTCACCTTCGTTTTAAACTATTATTATCATTTGCCTTGCATTGAACAATGCACGTTCACACCGTAGAGCATGACATTTCGTATTTTTAATTGGTCACACAACGTGAGACAGAGGAAAATAAAGACTTAAACTTTTTATGAAATAAAATTGTATTAATTACTTTGGATTATCGATCCACAGTGTCGGACCTAGTCCCAGTCCAATCCTAACCCACCCGGCAAACGAGAGAAACTAGAGTATCGCACTTAATTCGTCTGCACCAGGGTACCAGCCTCTCTCTCACAACAACTCATAAATTAGACATGTTAACATTGGCTGCCAAACTACCATCTGATCATTTGGGACAGTTTCCACTATATATTTCCAGCCTATTAACACCAAACGTAAAAACTACAACATAAATTTTAGATGGGCCCAGAAAACTTCCCAAATACATGGGAGCAGAAAACAAGACAATATAAGCTTTAACTTCAAAATCCCAGCAGCACCATAAAAATCCATTGATCTTTGTCTCTCATCCTTTGCCTTGTATTCCGAGTTCCAAATATCTTTGACTTTCACCACAAATTTACAGCTTTAACTCTCCCTTCCAGGTCCAGCCATGTCAAAGCTCTTTCCTCACTCCCATGCATCTCCACCTGCTCAAAGCCACATGTTATTTTCCCCATACAAAAGAAAACTTATTATTAATCAGTCCTCATAATAAGTTGGAACCACATATGTTCATGCATCCTTTTAACTTGGTCAATTCTTATAGATATGGTTTTTTTTTAATTTTGGTAGATAGAAACTAAACGAATATTAGTCAAATTAAGATTAGACCTCAGATTCAGGCAAGAAAAAAAAAAAATCACAGATTTCATGTCGTAGACATCTACATCAGCAAATGAAAAAGAGAGAGTAAATTTAACACTAACCAGAAAGTTAATCTGAATCAGAGGACATTTGAGAACGGGGATCCAATGTCGTGATCATTTTAGACAGCACCTCACCCATGTCTTCTAATTCATCCTTTGCAAATCCCCAACTTCTAACTAACTCAGCCCCAGGAGCTCCTCTGGCAATCCCAAAGCTACGAAGACTTCCCAATCTATTCTCCAAGAATGGTAAAACGGCACTGCTAGACCGTAGTCTAGCTGCCATAGGGATGGAATGGACATCAAGTGATCCCCTTGATGAAGAATCAATAATTGGGGTGCTCAAAAGCTCACCATGTTGGCCAACACGGTTCCCAAATATTGAAGGAAATGGCAAAGGTATTGGAAGTGGACATTGAGCCACGGACAGATGGCAGAACATTGGCCTTGTCGTTGCATGCTCATAAGCAGCATGAACCATATCTTTTACTTCAGAAATTACCCATCCAGTCTCCATAATCCCAATAGCACATTTCATAATATTTTTCCCAAACTCACACCTTCATGAAGTCCCTGACTAATTTGTTCTAGGTATTCTGTAACAAGAGTGGAATTTCCAGTTTCACCAATGACTTGTAATTTCACCAGCATCTATAAATTCATACTGCCTCTAAATAACAAGTTAACTAGTTATACAATTTACATCCATAAAATGCAGAGATGATTCAGAATGTAATCAAAATGACAATGATTGCAATGAAAGAAATAAAAAAAGAAAACCAGTGCAGTATTATCACAAGAGTGACATTTTTGGAGATGTTCTTGCTAAATAATACAGATTCAGGCAATAGAACAATTTTTTGTGGTGCAATGCATCGGCTATGCTTATCTTGTAACCTCTGATATATGCTTTAAGTCTCCGAAGTTCCAGTTAAGATATGGCAGCAGATGTTCTTACTAGTGTATAAAATGTTGTGACCCAAAGAAAAAAAGGGATGCTTCTAGGTTTTTTTTTTGTTTTTTTGTTTTAAATTTTTATAAAAAAAGCCACGCACCCAAATTCACATTGCTCTAGCCACTAAGGCAGAGTGTAACTAGTAAATTGCATACTCAGAAAATATGATCGCTTAAAGAAATTCCAGAAGCACAAAATATGAACTATCTTAAGTGAGCATGTTTAACATTCTCAGGAGTCTAATGAAAATAATAATAAAAAGAACTGATGTTCACTCCAAAACAGTACCTGGTCCTAGGGCCCCGTGGACTGAGATGGATTCTACTGATTGTAAGTCCTCAATATCCTTTGCTATCTCTGGTGTCAATGGCTGCAAATGACGTAGCAAAGTTTGCTCCAACTGATTCCCTGTTTATAATGCCAAATAATTAACCAAAATGATTGCTAATAACAGAGGGCTTAATGTGAAAACCGACTGAAGTAATTACCAGTTAAAGAAGGGACTGGCATTGCAGCATCCAGAATGGCAACCATATTCTGCCTAGTTTGCCCTGATAGGATTTGCACAACCTCATTAACAGTCGCAGCACCAGAAGCATAAGATGAGTCTGCAGTGGGCCCAAGTGGTTCCATTCGAAAAGGGAGACTAAGAGAATGTAGGGCAGCAGCATAAGCTGCACTGCAGTGATACGGCTTTTCATCATTGATGCAGAGAAATGTTGAAGCTTTGCCTTTCAAATCAAGTGGACAGAAGATTAGTCCACAAGAAAGTGTAACTTCTTTAGAACAGAGAAACTAAGAGAGTATCAACACTGATCATAGAAACTGAAGAACAAACTATTGGTTCAAACAAAGCTTTAAAACCTCTATATTAAGTATGCCAATATTCATTCAGGGGGAAATTGAACAGCTTAAGCACAGAATTGGTACTCATTTTATCCTGATTAATAGGATTAAATCAGATAACTAAGAGAGAGAAAAAAAGGCTGCAGAATCACAATGCTGCAGCAACAGTATGTAAACTGACTCTGAAGAGGCTAGAGAATCAATCATGCGAATAATACATTCAATAAGAGCAATATTTCTTACTTCTACTCAATGAGGGTAACCCCACGGGAACGATCAGTTTACATAACGATGATAGCCTTGAAAATGAAACAGCATCGTGAAGCTTCCTACTGACTCTCTGCTTCTGGCTTCTGGGATCCACCGAAGAACCAGGACCACGCACAGCATAGAGCAACACTGGAACATTCGTATATTCATCTGCAATACTCTCCAGAACATCCACAGCTAGAGGAGAAAAACCCCCCGAGTCATCAACAATGAATTGAAAACCCTGTCAAAATACAAATTCATATTGAAGATCCCAGCATTGAGAGGTTGATACAAAGCAGGGAGCACCAAAAACTCATTAACTGAAAATACTAGATACTACTTTTGTCGAAGTTAATATTAGCCAATGAATCTTTCAGTCCCCAAAAGCTTCAAGATGCTCACAATCCATGTAAACATTGTTCATGTAGTACACATGTCGTTTTATAACAAATTCATCAATAGAGTAAGACACACTGATCCATAACTACAAAGACCCTGTTTATACACCACATTGGACAGTCTCCGACACTAGCTTTCTCAAGGTTAAAATAAAGTACATGATCAAAATTCAGTAGACAGTATTTCTAGAGTACATGATCAACTCGACTAGCACTAATTGACAGCTTGTTTAGATCAAACGTCCCACCCAACATCCCCTTTCAATTAAGCCAGGAAAAAGATGTAAATAAGTCAAAGTATAGGACAACAATTTATACAAGTAAAATACCTGAATATGGTCACACTCTTCTACGAAAAAGCGAAGCCGCTGACTAATTTCTTCTCCCTGTAAACCCCCAGATAAGGATTCCCTTCCAATCCCGTAATTGTCAAATTTCTGAGGATCCACCCACAATCCACTTAATTCATATAAACTTTGGGGATGATACTCAACTTTTGAGAAGTCAGTCCAGTATTGGACACCATTTTCTAAACTCTCCACTTTATCCCTGTCATGAATTTCTGTTCGAGGATTCTCTCCACCAGTGACACCATTTTCAAAAGTCAAAGAATTTTCCTGCTCTTCCCCGTACAAACTTTGCAAGAACAAATTCTTTTTATGAGGCTCAGCAGCATGAGTAGAAACATTACCACCCCTGCACATTGGTTTAGAGACAGTAAAATCATCTAACACAACATATAAAGAAGAACGCAAACAAAATGCATAATTTTTTTAAAACCTTTTAAAAAAATGTTTTACCATGTCAAAATATTTGATGATGCAGATGAACCCTCATCATACAATGTACCACGTGAGCTCATAGACCCAAGGGACCCTGCAAAAGTCAAAAATTGAAAGTTTGCAACTTCCATACATTTCAAGGCCACTAAATACACAAACCCAATTGCAGTTTTCAAATACCTTGAAGATCAACAGAAACCAGGCGGGGAGTGTAAGTCAAAGTACCCTGTTGATGTCATGTGTGCAAGTCTCTAAGTAGAGAAGGTGAAGCAAAACATTTGAATCAAAGTAAAACAAATAAAAACAAAAAAATCTGCACACCTGGTGCGTCTCACCAGAGCGGTAGAGCACGTCCATGTTCAAAGACTGATTCTTGAATACTGGGTCAGCATAAGGGTCTTCCGCCAACCCATTTAGCTCATCCTTCAAGAATATATGAATGAATATGTTAATCAACGAAGGAAGTTGAATGGCAGAGTGAGTTAATGGGCGTGTGAGTAAAGCTTGTCTTTGTGTATGTACCTGGAAGTTCCAGAAATGTGAGCCCACAAAGTTTGCAAAGCTTCCAACTTGGAGGGTGACGAGTTCTCTCATGGTTTGGGAACCAGCAGAGCTGCCAAGGGATCGGAGGGAGGGAATGAATTTGGAGCCAAAGGGGTTTTGAGAGACAAGGAAGACTGAGACGCAGGACGGTGCGTTTTAGCGGTTTGACAAAAGGATAAGCAATTTAGTTGGGCCTATAAAACAAATCCAAGTCCATCTACCCAGAATAGGAAGAAGTGTACCAGCCTGGCCCTGGTGCACACACCTGCATGTTGGTCTGAGTTGTCTTTAAGAGCGATTCCACCAATGCGCCTAAGGGGAGGGCTTGGGGGGGATGGTTTGGGCCAAAATCTTGTTTCCAGCGGCAAGGGCTAGCCTTGGCAGGAGATGGGGCCCACGAACCCAGGCTAGCCCTCAGGTAAGATCTGTCTTAGTTCCAGCCCCAGTTTGCTGACGTCACACCACAACCTTTTGCAATGGCAGTAACTATTCACGTGAATAGTGACCGCCCCTAACCCCCCCTTGTCATGGCAAAGGGCAAATGGGTAGAGTTACTCTAAGAGTGATTCCAGTGATGCGCCAGGGCTGGGGCAAGAAGGGGGCCCAAGAAGAAAAAGGCGTTCCAGAGGGCCTTTTTGGCCCAGGCTGGCTGTGGGCTCCACAAGCCTGGGCTTGCCCTCAGGTAAAACCAGTCCTTACTCTAGCCTGGGTTTGCTGACGTTAGTAATGACGTCAGCAACCCAAAAAAATTTAAAAAAATCTACAAAAATACTAAAAATTTCAGATTTTTTTTAAAATAAATACTTAGTCATATTTTTCCCTTCACATATCAAAACTCTATACAAACTCTTCTCATCATATCTCATGTGAATAGTGGTTTGTCATGGCAATGGGTAGAAACACCACAAGCCTTTTGCAAGGGCTGCCACTATTCATATGAATAGTAATAGCCTTTGACTCCCCTTGCCCTTTGCCATGGCAAATGGGTGGAAGTACTCTAAAAACTATACATGTAGCCTTTGGTAGAAACTTTTTTTATTTATTAAAAACACAAAAACGCTTATAAATAGAAGTACTTACTACAAAAGAGTTTGATTGTCCAAGTGCTTCTTGAGAATAGTTTTTGACTAACAAACCCTTCATCCAAGGTCCTAGATTCGCTTTCCTCCTCCTCAAATATCATTTTGTATATTTTTTCTTTGTTAATTACATACAATAGATGACCAACACGTACATAGGTGAATATCATAGAACGTCTTTTCTACACCAATTGTATATTAGAATTTATCTCCACAAATTTGTTGACAACTTGTCAAAGTAGTGGATTTGTAGAATGGATTGACATAAAAGAGTATTATAAACACTGGGGGAAAAAACCAAAATCTTATTGGGTGATCGACTCATTTCTTCAGGGATCAATTTTTATTTCAGGTGACTGGCACACGTTTTCATCACCACCACTGATTGTGCTCACGAACAATCTAAAGACAATAAGATATGTTCAAACAATCCGACAATACAAGCAGAGAAATATCAAATGGTTGACATTGAAGCGAATAAAAAATGAAAATGTTTGGTGGTTAATGAACATAACAGGGCACAAGTAAAGGGCCATCTTTTGAATCATTGAGTTTTCTACCCAAAAGATTCTTGGGGCTCACCATATCAACTGTTTGAGATTCATGTTGCTTTATCTTGAGGGTGACTGCTTTGTCGTGGATCCATAATTGTCTTTGCATGAGCCTCGCTGTAAGGTGAGATTATTCTATTTACCAAGAAAACTGGTGTGCTTATTCAATGTAGAAACGGATATCATAAAAAATGTTGATTAGGTCCCAGTTTCATTTGACAGTGACTCTGAATTTTCAATATGCCATGTACCTATCAACCACCACCACCACCATGGACATGACAGAATTGAGGCTTGCAGATGCCATGACATTTTATTTGGAGAGAGATTTTATACAACATAGGTTTATAACTTTATATATATATTAAAGCAAACTACCACAAAGATTGTAATAGTAAAAAGCATGCAATGAAAACAAAAGTTGGTAGTTGAGAAGTGATGTGCACACTAGAGAGTGAAGAGAGAGAGAATAAGATGGCATGCTACTAAGAATTCAAGGACAATGCAAGTGCAAAGGTTTATGAACAAATGACCAAGTCCAAGGACCAAGTTTGGGGTAAAATTGCTGGCCTTTCCCCTTTATTTTGCAAGCTGATGATCAGATGTTTAGGATTCAGTTGAACAAAAATTTGATCTTTGCTTGATGACAAGCAGCAAGGCAAACCCTCTAATTTTGGCATGGAAAGAAGACAATCGGTTACAGATACACTTGTATTCTCAGGATGGAGTTAGATTTTCATGTTAAATTTCCACAATGACAGTTTAAGGATTTTGAAACCGCTGAGGCTTAGCCTAGGTGACAAGGGAGAAGTACGAAAAGGATTAGGATAAGTCATGGGTTCAATCTCATCATCCAATGTACTAGAAAAAGATCAAAAGGATTTGATAAACTTTCGGGTTCGGACCCGATGCCAATAAGGTTCGAGAACTTCTGAAGGCAAACAATATGTAGCAGAAATCTGATGGATAGAGATTTCAATTTGAACCTCTCAAGTTGAGATATTAGGGCATAACTAATATAAAAGAAGTTAAACCATACAAATAAAATAAAGTGAATATTATGTTGGGTACATTTTCATCTTACTTCCTACTGTATAAAAGAACCAGAAGAAACTTGCTCTAACAATGGCAAATTCACATCTCCTCTTTCTAAAGCAGTGCCTCAAAAGATTTTTTTTAAAAAAACTTGAGCTGCATATCCCTTCTGTTTTTGCTAAAGGTACCTTATTACTATTACTCATAATTCAGAGACTATGATTCCCCATGTATATTTGTATCTGCAAAATTCATGGGGGATGATTGTATGTCTATACATCTCCTCCTTGGTTGTTGTGAAGAAGCCCACCTTTCCAACTCTGGCCATCTGATTTCTCATCTTCTTCTGCTTCTCTGCTGTTATCTGACTCCCCTCCAGTTGTAGATCGACCTTTGGCAAACTCACCTGGAAGGAGAGGACCTTGTGGAGAACCAGACTGTGAGTTGTTTGCCTTAGAATGGTCTGCACTGTGATCTAGGGGCATCCATATGCCATTGCCTTTGGCAGCAGAAGAAGCCGGTAGCTTTCGGACATGAAGCCTGTATTTCTGCACAGACAAATCAGACAAACACATGAGCAACCACTCAGACAGGAAGGGAAAATTATAATTATAGATGAGAGAAACAAAATTAAGTAACCAACCTGCAAATGGCTTTTCACTTCATCATTGGTGAGACCATCCACCTGCATAAGCTCTCTTATCTGCTTAGGAGTGGCCACTACAAAAAAAGAACACACAGATTAGGAACAAGCGTATAAAATAAAAAATAAAGGAGAATTTGATTCAAATAATTTGAAAAAGGACTAAATTCAAGTAGTTTGGCATAGAAGCATAAAGATAAAGTATTTTCTAGAATTGTCATGCTGTTGAAAGTCCTGAAAACCAACGATAAGTCTTACAACTTCACAAGTGGAAGTGCAAGATTCCACCCACTAAATTCAATTTCTTAAGAAAAATTCTGAATTGGAAAGGAGTAAAGGACCAAAGACCAAGCAGATTTTCCAAATCCAATTTCCAGTCCAAGTTCAACTTTATTTTTCCCATCCTATTTTTCAAGAAAGCAATATCAATCAGCTGAATTATATTATTTTCTAGTCTCAAGCTCCAACCTTGTGTTCCTCCAAGCTGTTGAAGAGATTCAATAAAGCGGCGGTGAAGCTCAGGTGACCAGCATCGCCTTTGCTTCCTAAAGGGTTGTTGCTGCTGTGATTGCTGTTGAGGTTTGTTCTGTAATTTGAGTTGGCCTGCCAAACCAGAACCTGAACCACCTCTGCAGTTGTTGTTGCTCTTAATGTTTGTATTGGTAGAAGCATCCAGTGCTTCAGACATCAATGGAGTCATAAGAGAAAGGCTTGGGACCTGTGAGACCTCCTTGTCATCCTTAAGACAAGTTCCTGTAAAACCAGACTCATATTGTTCCTTGAATGGCACAAATGTCCTTCCCATGGCTCTGTTATTACTTGGCTCAATTGAGTTCTCAGGCACCGACCGATCATCTTCTTCGTTCCTCTGTGATATGCACACACAAAAAATCAAGAATATGATGAAAATTCTGCAAAATCCCAATAAAGTTCCAGCCTTTAATAAGATTATTTTCAGGAAAAAAAAAAGGAAATTTAGAATTTAACCATTCTGAGTCCTGATTCAGGGTCGTGTTTGCTGTACTCAAAAATATTGAGGCTTGTGCTCCAAAGCTGAGCAGAGCTCATCCAGTTCTTCTTGTCACTGTTTTCCTTTCCCAAAACTCCCCCTCCATTCTCATCCAGATTACCCTTCAATGGTATGAATTCTTCTATCACAGGCCGATCTTCCATTTTCTTACACTGCATTACTCTCTCCTTCAACCTCTCAATTGCTGCATACCCATCCAATCAAACAAATCAATCATTAAAAAAAAAAACCCACCTAAAAAATATTAATAATCTTGAAGGAAAAAATATGATAATCAGAGAACCCACCATCCTTTAAGAGCAGCATGCAAAGAGGAAGCTCGCGCTTGAAAACTTCAATCTTTCTCATTTCATCTTCGAGCCTTTTCACATAAGCATCAAGCTCTGACGACCTCTGAGAGCTATCTTCCATGGTTGAGAGCTGCGCGAGAAAGTCAGAGATTGTTTTTGGGATAAACACCAGACTGGTGTCCAAGCTCAGCTCCATTTTTCACTCACTCTGTTGTTTCTCTTTCTCTTTCTCTCTCCGTGTCTCGGTCTCTAGCATTTGCCTAGATAAAACCTGATAAGGAACAGAGAGGCCCATTTATATGTGTAAGGGAATTTCAGATTCAGGACACACAAAGATTCAGTGCTTCGCACACGGGTCGTCGCGTCTCTGGGTCAACTCGGAAACTCAGTTCATTGACTCGGGTCCGAGTTTTGACGGTGGAATCTTTGGAATCCGTACTCACGCCGCGAAAATGTGATAATTGATTGTTATTTTTATTTTATATTTTTACTTTCGGTTGGTATTTTGTGGGGTGCCCTGTTCAAGATTCTTTATTAGGTGGGTTAAAAGGAATCGTTGCCCTTGCCGTATTAATGCGAGAAGATTGAGGGCACTTTGGTCATCAAGGGTAAACTTTTATTTTTTGGATCCTCTAATTTTCCCACTTAAACTTGCTTTTCTTTTTTAAATTATAACTTGTTTTCACTCTTTAATACAACTATATTAAAAAAAAACTTGTTTTTAACACTTTAACATGAAAAACAAAAATTAAACAAATACTTGGCCTCAACAACATTGCATTGTAAGAGAAATAAATCAATGCCTCCAATCACGCTATGTAAATATCTTGGAGGAAAGAAATAGAATAGGGGATTTATTTTTATTTTTTTTGGGTAGAAAGATGGATAGGATTATGGTAAATAAATTCTCACATCTAAGGCGAGAAATAGGGCATTTATCTTACACAATCTTCCCGTATACGCTAAGATAGTTGCACAACAACACGTAATAGTATCTATACAAACTTTGAATCTATATCCACCAGTAATCAACAATTACCTATAAATGAAAGTCCATTAGGGCATTCCCGAAAAGAAAAAAGTTATAGTAGATACTCGACCATTACGATATTGCCAAATCTGCAAGTAAAGTTAGAATTTATAGTTGCCCAGTGATAAATCCATTCTAGTCCGATGGCCTCAAGCCACTCAATAAATAACTGTTAAAAGATGTTGACATAAACACTATCCAAACGAGAACTTTTCTCTTTTGCGTTTAAAAATGGAAGATTATTGAACCCTTGTTTATTATTATGTTAGAAAGATATACAAGATTACAGTAAATAAGGTCTCACATGTAAGGCAAGAAAGAGGACATGTATCTTACACAATCTTTTGTATACGCCAAGCCAGTTGCACAACAACACGAATCGTATCTATAACAACTTTGAATCTATATCCACCAATAGTCGGCAATTGCCAATGAATGAAAGCCCAGTAGGGCCATTCCCAAAAAAAAAATGTGATAAAAAATACTCGACCATTACGATGCAGCCAAATCTACAAGTAAAGTTAGAATTTATAGTTCCCAAGCGATAAACCCATTCTCGTCCAATGGCCTCAAGTCACTCAATAAATAACTGTTAAAGAATGTTAACATACGACAACAACTATCCAAACAATAACTTTTCTCTTTTGTGTTTAAAAATTGAAGATTATTGAACCCTTGTTTATTTTTATTTTTATTTTAAAAAACTCTGAGAATGACAACGGTATCATTATGATAAATAACTGAATTAACAAAAATATAGTTAGTTGCAAGAATAATAGAGAGATGAATTGAATAGTTAGTTCGGAAAATAGTAACATCATGATTTTTGGCAGATGCACCAACAAAACTAGACTTTGTAGTATCTAATTGTTAGGGAACGACCTCGAGCTAGTCAACAAACTAATTGTTAGGGAATGTCGATGTAGGGTGAGAGTTATTGAAATGAGAATTTTTGTGTGTTTCAATTAAAAATCTATAAGTGATTGTAATGATTTTTAGAGAAAAGAAACTCTAATACCGACGGAAATATTTTGTACTCACCATTTTAATTTAAGGTGTATTCTTACTACTTGACATTTGTCTATTGACATAACTATAATAACAAATTGCGATAACGAACTATGATAACAAGCTGCGCGTGGTAGCATTAAAAATGACTAATGCCATGTAAGTAAAGAAATTCATGTTAGACTAAAAAAAAGGTAAAGAAATTTATGTAGTGTGAAATAATTAGATCTTAAACTATATTTATCATGAACCGGATAAAATTGACATAGGATTGGAGCAATTTATTAGAGTTAGCTGTCTAATCGTATTTGACATTTTAGGACGGATCACCGCGTCCGTAGACTTCTTATACTGAAAATAACATTATCGATTACCAACTATGCCCTTGCCGGTAGCATGGGTGGTTGGCTAGTGACCCTCCTCCATAAAGATTTTAAAAAAAAGTAATTTTCTTTTGATGAGAATTTTACCGTGCACTTATTAATACTTGTTTGTTGGTGTGTCAATTATGCACCCCCCAACCAACAACACCTCCAAGGGCATCTAGAAAATTGTGGCTCTTTCTGATCATATTAGCTAATCACATAATTTCATAATAAATATTTTAATTAATGACTAATTATATTAGTTGATGCAAAAAAAAAGTGCATGCCAACTACGCCTGCTTTAATATGACGTGGAAATAATTATCCCTAATTGGGTAATTAGAACCCAATTAAATGGGCCAATTGATAGCATTAGGTTCAACATAAAAATAAATAAATAAATAAAATAGCAAAAAAGGCAAAAAAAAAAAGTACAAAACGTTTGCCATGTGAAAGATTTTTATTCCCTTTAAGTAAAGCAACTTTTCCTAGACCGTTTATGGTTCATTCGTTACGGGTCCCAGGGCGACGCTAAGCACACACGACAGAGCAGGAGCTGTGTCACCGTTAACCAGAAACCGACACGTGGTGCACGATCCTTAAATCCGGAGCGGTGAGGTCCCCCTGCGGTGCGGTCTCGTCCATTAATAGAAGAATGACATAATCGTGGGTTTTGTCCGGAATTTCATGGTTCATTTTCGATCGATTTTGTGCCTGTCGTAAGATTCCTCACCATGCAACCGACACGTGTCCATGGCAGCTAAAAATAGGGTGTTTCTTGTAATTTAGCTTTGTTAGGGATAAGGATTCTTTTGGGGATGGATGGTGATGGGTTTTTGTTTATTTTCTCTCAGGACAAATTGCCAAAAGATGCTCTCTCATTCAATATGACAACTATTTGCAGCCATCCATTGTGTTTTAATTCTACATAATTTATTTATATAATTCCATCGTTCTTAAGAATCCTTGACTTGCTTTTCCCTCGGATCCTTATTATAAATAAACAAAGCTTGTTAAAAGTACTTACTTCAAATTATAATTAAAAAAGTCTATTTGGAGTTTAGTCAAGAGCAGAACTATGAATTTTTATAAAAGTGCGCTGTAATTTTATTTTTCATTTAAGGAGTTGACGGGGTTTGGATGAACTAATTTCTTTTGCGAGACCCAATTCGTTTGATCACAAGTTGTCCTACGTTGGTTTCTTATATTCATGTCATTATAGAGGCCCTACACTTGTAATATTTTGAAGAGAATACGAATATATACCAGTGATTTGCATGAATTCTCTTTAGAATCCACGTAAATGTTGTACGTTCAAGGAATATGGTTCTGTTGAAGAAATGCAATTCTAGTTTTGTCTACATTTAAAACAGTATCTATGTTTAGATTTGGTTGGAGAATTTTGGATCGGATAATAATAAATACGTATTTATTTTAATTATTCGTCAAATTATTTCATGAGGTACCCAGTTAAAGAAAACACAAACAATTCCATTATTCTTCTTTTATAATTAGTTGAATTGAAAATATGGGTCTAGAGTTAGTATCAGAAATGGTTTACCTATCCAAATGAGTTACGTCCGTTAATTCTTTCTTGTTCATGCCCTGCAACTGGAAAAGAATATTTGCCCTAATAGCAAGTAGGTCCCCTAGCTTAATTATGCTAATTATTCTGTCTGTCCAAATATAGATGGATAAAGTCTTTGAGGCTTTGAGGCAATGGGGCAGCTTCTGCTTTTGCTTGATTATCTTGGTTTGGAGTAATTTAATTACTTTGATAATGACGTTTTGGAACAATATATTTTGTGCGGCCCACGTTCATTTTCTGGTTTTTGTATTGCTGCTAGCTAGCTGTATGCGAACGTATATTGAGCAAGTGCTGGTCCATTTAAGTATACTTGCTTGTTCGATTTGGAACTATGTTTGAACTTTATATGTCACGCTTATCGAAATGGAGCCAATAATGAAGGTTAGAGACATCACTATTGGGTGAGCGGTGCAAAGAGTGACAAAAATTGGGTTTTAGGGTGTAAATAGTGACGTTTCTCACATACACACAATTAAGATGTCGTAAGAATTTGAACTTCAGACTTTTAGTCTGTGCAAATTAATGTTATTTTTCATTAGACTTAAGCTAGACTCCGTTGATATAATCGGGTAATTAATTAAATAAATAAGAGAATAAAGAAATAATAGCAGTGATTGGAGAAGTACAAAGAAGAGACGTTAATTAAGAATATAATCCCGTATAAAAGGATTTAAACACAAGACTTCAGATGTAGGAATAAGGAAAAAGGTGTATAAATTTAGGCAGGGGTTTGGATGATTGTTAATTGTTACGTGTAGAGGTAAAAGGGAATTTTTCTCCGCCTTAAGAAAAGGGGTATTGGGATGGAGAATGCCGCACCTATCAGAGGAAGCGGTACGCCGCATAGGAGAAGAGGTACTTACACCTGTCCCGTCCCATCTCAAAAGCAATTACTCTCCCTCTTTTTATCTTGTGATGTTGCTTTTTAATGGTTGATCTACGTGTTTCCCACTACCGTTTGTTTTCCACTATTCAACTGTTACATAGTCGTACTCTCGTCGTACTTGTTTTCGGCACAAAGGCAAAAAGGAAAGGATAAAAACCTGCATATCGCCGTCTGTGGGAATCGAACCCACGACCACGTGGTTAAAAGCCACGCGCTCTACCGGCTGAGCTAAGACGGCTTGCTTGCTAGTTAAGCAAGTTCTAGCAAATTTATATGAAGCAACGGTTCTCTTCTACATTAGAAGTGAAGTGACCTGTGAGTTAACAAATATTTGTTGGGCCTAGATTTCTTGTAGGCAGGCCTATTCATAATCTGGCTGGTCTCAAGTCA